TTAATACAGTACTTCCAAAATAGACATTGTGACAACTAGCCCCAGTCTCCGCTGCAGTGTACAAAAAATATACAATTATTGATCTGATGTGTGCATTTGTGAGAGATTTTGATATGTTAGAAAGTGAAACAATACAAGGTAATTCTATACATATGGCATTCCTTTATTTAATTTTAATTCTTCACAAAAAAAACTGAATATTTCCAGCTCATGAAACTGTTCAGTGTGTAAACTAAAAGTGCCAGTCTGTGTTGCGCTCATCAGGTGACTGAAGGATCCGTTCTGACCTGAAACAGAAAATGACACCCTTGAGTCCACCTGTGCTCTGAAATGAATGGTGCATGAGGTACAGTGGCAGATAATAGACCTGTAATAGGGCAGTTTAAGAGCTGAATACAGCTCAGGGGTGTTGGGGGTCATGACCATGTTCTGACGGGACCCAGGCGTGACCTCTGACCCCTCAAATGATGGTGTGGCACATGGAGACAGAGAGAGCTGCTCCGGTACTGCTGCACCTGCGCGCACACACACACACACACACAGCTGCATTATAATGTGATATTAGTGCTATAAACATGATCTGTGTGTGAGCCGTGTGTGTGTGTACGTAGGTCGCTGAGCGCTGTGCTTTCTCTCCTGTTCCACTGCGAGGTTTTCTTGACAGGAGAAAAACTGAGGAAGTCTGACTTCAAACGGGAGGCTTTCTGCCGCTCAAACTCACATCTCTGAAACACACACACGCAGATTAATTGCTGGGGGACAATTATGATTATGAAGTATTACAGGAATGATTCACCCAAAATTAAATCCTATTATTACTTATGCAACCCATATGCTTTTATTTTTTTCTGTGGAAACTAAAAGGGAAATTAGGTTATCAAGCACCTCATACAAAAGATGCATTATTTTTATGATGCTTTGTGAAAAAAATTGTTATGCTTGACAATCCCCTGGTGGTCACTATAAACTGTTGCTGTAGCAAGAAAGCTATTCAAGAAATCTTCAAAAGGTCTTTTGTGGTCTGTAAAGTGAGCTGGGTGAATTGTAGAGTAATTTTTGCAAACTTCATTTACAGAAACTAGGAGGATCATTGAAAATGTTTGAATGTAATATTTAAGTAATGTAAGTAATATAAAAACAACAAAATATTTTTTAAATTAAAATAATTTAATTCATGAATTCTTTAGGGTTTCAATTTTAATTGCCAAACAATTTGTTTATTTATTTTTTACTCACAAATAGCAATTTCCACCTGATAAAATATTTGACAGCTTGACATAATTAGAAAAATTTATATTCATTATAAAAATATCCATCATTTTAATATTTTATTAATTGCCATGACTTCAGGTCCAGAAATCACACCTTTAAAACGCCCTCGTATATCAAAGTTTTTCAAGAAATTGAGGTGGTGAATAAAAAAAAAAAAAAAGACAAATATCTTATTTTTTTGTTGTTTTATCATCTCATTTTAAAGCTTGTTTGGTCTTATTTTAAATAATTTTTTAGGTATTATTCAGCCCCCTTGGAAGTGTGCTGAGGCCCACCAGTGGGGCCTGGACCCCTGGTTGAGAACCACTGCATTAGTGGATTATGTTGAAAATCTAACGTGATTCTCTCCACCAGTGATGCCACTGCAGGGACACCTATTAGGTGAACTGACTTCATACATCCAATAAAAATGTAAAGATGTGCAATAATGACGAAGTTAGAAAGATAAACATGTACGTGCAAAAAAAGTTTCTATCACCTCGTGACCCAGTCGGATAGCAGCTTCAGTGAAGGCATGCCTCTCTTGCTGGAAGCTCCGCCTCTGCCTGTTAAACTCCTCCCAGTGGTCCTGTAGCCGCTCCCACTCCTCCAGATAGTAGCAGTCCATCAGCACAGCGGGGAGGGGTGGAGTTACACTGTCCTGAGAGAAATCACTTCCAGCTACTGTCCTAAACACAAGATCGGACATGACAGCAGCTCTGGTGTCTGACCTGCAGTAACTGCTGCTGCGCTCGGATCAGATGTCTGCTCTGCTCCAGCTCTTCCTCAAGATGAGCCAGCAGCTTCTCCTGGTCTGTCCCTTGAGCAACAGGACCTGAGCACACACACACAGAATTAAGTCTAGAAAGCCTCCTCTAACCGGTCAGTTTCAAAACACACAGTTCTTACTCCTTGACATGAGCTCCTGGAGTCTTTTCTGGACTTGCATCCACTCCTGGACCACACCTCCGGTCACATGATCACCAAGGCACTGCTCTGATTGGACCAGCACATTGTCATCGGTCTCATCTGCCAGTTCTGTATTGTTGTTGTCTCGCAGTGTCTAATTAAAAAGAGTTTACTATATGATGCACCCCGATTTGCATACTTTCCATCCTAAATAGTATGCTAGATAGTGTGTGTGTGTGTCACAATTCATACTTGGAAGTATGTAAAATTGGAACGTAGCCATTTATTGACTCAAGAAATCTTCCCAGTGAACGTGCAGTTGTCTTTCTCACCTGCTCCATGTTATTTCTGAGCATGTGCAGTAGTGTAGTGAGGCCGTGTCGTAGTTTCATGGCTTCTCTGAGCTCGGCTTCCCTACGGTCCAACAGCAGACGCAGTGCTTCTTCTGTCCTGCAGAGACGAAGCACTTGCACCTCTTTTTTTTTGGTTGGGGGTAATATTTCAAATATTTCTCATTCCAAAAATGTTAAAATTTTGCATTAAAGATGTCAAGTCAAACTGTTTACTATTATACACATGCATGATTCGTCAGTGCACAGTATTGTTAATAAAACATATTTCTGATGGGTATAACACTTTGTATAGTCTATGAGGACATTGGTCGTACCTCCCATCAGCCCTTGAGGTCTTGAAGCCAGGCTGTCTCCGTCCTGTCCGCTTAGGCAACACGTTTATTATCTCCATGGCTATGGACAGGGAATATCATGCAGTCATTGAGCAGTAATACAGTGAAACTGTCCTACAGTGAAATGTTTTGTGGCTTTTATATGGTAACGTAACCCTTAACATTTACTCATTAAACATGTTGATTACATCATCTTGCATTCCTGGGAGTTTGTGTATGGTATAAATTATAAACCTCCTAGGAATAGTAGCACATTATGCTTCTCATTTATGATAAGTTACTGTCAGTTAACGAGGGCGAATGTGTCAATCCAGAAAGGAGAAAGGGCAGAATTGTGGTAGTGAACAGGGGCGTCGATAGTGGGGGGAAAAGGGTGACAGAGTGCATAGGGCCCAGAGGTCTGTGGGGCCCGTGATGGTGAAATCCCGTGAAATCAGTAACAGTTAAACATGAACTGGTTTGTATAGTACTGAGTCTCACAGACGCCACGGTGTTTGTGTCTGTCAGTGAGCTGTGAGAGTTTGTCTCTCATGCGGTTGATGTGCTGCTCTCTGCGCTTCAGCTCCGCCCCCTGCTGGTTACTGCGACTCTGCAGCCGCACGCACTGCACACACAGACAAACCGGATCAGTGAGACTGTGTAGCTGCAGGTCGGAGTAATGGGCGTGGCGTGCCGAAAGGTGAATGCTACAACAGAAACTAACCCCTTATCCACGCCCCCTACCTTTCGCCACGCCCACTGCTCCAGCCTGCAGTTATCCTTACTTGGGATCTATTGCCTTGCACCTTACTATAGAAACTTTAAGTTAGACATATTAATAGCATATCATTCTAACCTTTTCTCTTTCAGAAGTCAGAGCATCTTGCAGTCTGGAGATGTGGAGGTCCTTCTCTATAAGCTGCTCCTGTTAAAGACAATATGGTCAGTCATTCTGAGACAATTATGTTCATTATGAATATTATTTATATATTTGGGATAAACCTCTTGAGATGTACATTCTCTTTTTTGAGGGGGTCCCAAAATATATAATGCAATTAATAATAATAATAATAGTAGCAAAATATAACTTAATATATATGTATATGATATAAATTAAAAGTAAAATAATATATAAAATAAATACTAAAATAAAATGCATAACGCAAGAGAGGTGGAAAGGAAAGTATGTATAGCTAATATGAAAACAAATAGTGTCACTTTTGTGAGCGTCACCTGAACGGTGATGTTTTGTGCACCTGTAATGAGTCGGTCAGGTCTCTGTGCTCCTCTCTGAAGATGCTGTGTGTGGTTTCATCAGGACACAGAGGCAGAATCACAGAGTTCAGCATCTCTGAGATACACAGAGAAACACGAACTCAATCTGTGTACCGGCCATCTAACATGCTGACTGTGTGTGTGATCGGTTACCTGAGCAGTCCTGGGCTCTTACGTGGGATGTTGGTGATCTTGCGACCCGTTTGTGTGCCATAAGCCCAGACCCTGCAGATACTGTAACAGCAGCATAACATTATAAATCACTGCAACTCAAAACACTGGCATCTTATGCAAAATGCCCTTTTTTTTAGTGTATAAAAATAAATGGCAGCCCAGACCCTGCAGATACTGTAACAGCAGCATAACATTATAAATCACTGCAACTCAAAACACTGGCATCTTATGCAAAATGCCCTAATTTTAGTGTATAAAAATAAATGGCAGTGAATGTGAAAATCTGTGAATCACAAATGTTTCAAAAGTAAAATAGTGGTAAATTTCTTCAGCAAGCAAGCAAATTTGATTTTTCTGCACAATTTTTAAATGAATAACATTAAGTAATTCATCAAAATTGCATTCTCCATACATACATACAAACTCTCATACATACATCTTATCAGAGCAAAAAAAAAAAAAAAAAAAAATTTGATGCACCTATTCACTCATAAAGCAGTTAAAAAAGTTAATGAGTGTTACAGAGCAAACTGAGATCACAAATGACTTCGGTTTCATTTAATCAACCATTTCATCTGACATCTGCAGGCTTCCTTCAATCATCTCATCAGTGATTGAGAGCTTCAGTCAGCTGTGAGCACACACCCGTATCAGATCCAAAACACACTTCACTTATGGTTAAGGGAACGATGCATTTTAAAGCCCATTCAACAAAAGACAACAGATAAATGATCAAGAACACTTTATTTTTTAAAAGTCTGTTTAGCAAAAAGTCAATGAAACGAGAATAAAGGTTTAATTTGAACATGTTCATTCAGCAGGTAATCAAGGTTTCCTCAACACAGCACATATTGAATGTCTTCCTCATCAAACACACCTGACTCGACTCATCAGCTCATTAGTCAAGATGCCAAGACCCGAAATGAGCGTCAGATAAAGGAAGACGTCCAACATATTTACAAATGACCTTCCAACCAAATCTTGCTGGCTATAAATTAGTAAAAGACTATAGTAGAAAAATGTCCTTTAATATTAGATAGGAAAAATATTCTAATAGTTTAATTTGTCCATTCCTTCCACATAAACCAGGTAAAACTTCATACGATCTTCAAGGACGTCTTTTTGTTTTATAAAATATGCATTACAAATAAAATAGCGTTTGGTACATAAAATTGCTTTCAAAACATGGGGGGTGTCAAGACTTTTACAGTTGCTTGTACCATACAGTGTAAATTCAGCATAGTCAACATTATTACTCATAATACAGTTCATAAAAATAGACAGCAACTGTGCAGATATGAAATTAGTGTGAAGGAAATGAACACAGTGGAAATATTTCTTTTCTTGCTATGCTAAGTAGTGTTTGTCTGTGTAGTGCTCCAGGAGGTCTTTGTGGAGTAGTGTAAAGGTAGAAACAGACTCCTCATCTGCAACACTTCACCAGCTCTGAAATAACAGATATTACATAGATATTAATATATTTAAAGGAGTAGTTAATTTGCTGAAAGCAGGTCATCCAAGATGGGTTTGTTTGTTCATGGGAACAGATTTGGTGAAATTTAGCAAATTTTGCTTGTAAACGGTGCTTGATCTGTGCATATTTCTCTCCTGATTCAGACCAGATGACTTCTCCACCAAACAATATTATGGACACAGATTTTTGCCAGAAGCAACAGTTTGAAGGTAAAAACCTCTCAATGATGGATTAGTTTTTTTTTTTACAAACACACAGATTTTCACTTCACAAGACATTAATCAATGGAGTGGATTATTGTGATGTTTTTATCAGCTGTTTGGACTCTCATTCTGACAGCACCCATTCACTGCAGAGGATCCATTGGTGAGCAAGTGATGCAATGCTACATTGAAGAAACAAACTCGTATACATCTTGGACGGCCTGATAAATTTCTAAATGATTATGATTGCGTAAGCATTTACTAAACGCATCTACGGTGCTTTAGAAGGACAGGAGTTTGTTGGTAACCTATGCGTGCTCAGAGGAGGCCGCAGGACTTGGGCGGGCGGAAGGGGTTGTCGCTGGATGGCACGCCCAACAGCAGCGGGTCTTTATGGGCGTTCTGCAGGCAGAAGTTCTTCAGGTCTGTGGCAGCTTGAGAAACCTAGAGATTACAATTAAGACGACATGTTTAACGATATCCATTGAGTGCACACACCCCTGAGTTTTATTCCTGTCTATATTTTCAAGGGTTTTACAGAGGGGTTGAAAACAAGGATTCTGAACCTGGTTTATTTATTTATGTTTTAATGCCATATCCGCAACAATGGCTATATTCATGGCAACATTAACAATATCAATTCAATGCATCATTTACAATAATATAACATTTTCTTAAGAAACAACCATTATACAAAAACATACAAGAAACAACAATAGTACTGATAAAAATCATATACAATCTTTCAGTTTAATCAGTGACTGAACCTGGCTTTATCTAACGTTCAGGTTTCTGCTCTGGAAATGTATGCAAATTAGTGCATATTTAATGCATAATTTGCACATTTAAACATAACATTTCAAAAGACTTTAAAACAATCGTCTTAATGTACTGCGATCAATCAACAGGTTTTTTAACCTGTTCACTTGCACTACATTTATGGTTAAAATAAGCTTTCTATAAGTTCTGATTGCTTCTGAGCATTAAACGAATGTAAATCTGTTTTTCTCTCACTTGACCAGTGTTCCTGTCCTACTTTTTGAGCATTTCCTTACAAAAAAAACCCCCACACAGGCCTATGGTGGGCAACTACCAGTCTATGATCCAGCCTACAGATATAGATCTTTGCAACATTGCCAAATCAGCTTAGGGCATGAGCTAGGGGTGGGGAATATAACCAAAATATTATTCAATGCTAGGAGTAATTTTATTCCACAATAACCGTTTTTAAAAGCGGGGTAACGCGATACCTTTTAGTTCCGGTATATCGTGTAACACTACTAGCAAACGTTGCATTAATAGTGATTTATTGCACAGTATTATAAAGCTAAAAATAAATAAAAATTGCATTTTCATATTTAAGGGGTCTTTAAAATCCTGTTTTTGTTCACAGTCAGTAATGCACACAAAAACAAATAGTTTAGTTTGGACACATACCAAGGTTTTACAATTCTCTTTAAAGTAACATACTAATCAACACAGTATTGAAATCTGATCCCACCGCTGCACCATTGTAGCACCAGAGCGTTAGTTCTGAATTATTAATGAGCATAGGGAACAACATCTAACAGTTGTCTGAACTCTACGCATAAAATACGCTTCTGGCAGTGTAAGACTCGTATAAAACACTTTAAACGCATATCGGAGAAGCTGTGACGCTAAAACACTGAAACTATTTACCCACACACGAGTTAAAACGCGTTTTAAGTGTTGTTTTGTCGGTTAGCGTTAGCACTAGCAGTAACTCAGCCCGGCTAAACTCATCCACAAACTCTCAAAATCCAAAACTCTTCCAGGTTTGTTGTTGAATTTGACATACGTACGTTAATTCGTCGTATTTTGGCCTCTAGTCTGAGCTGTTTGACGGCTTTCTGCGCCACAGCCACACTGCTGCTGCTAGCGTTATTGTTGGACATGACTGACCGAGTGACTCCAGAGAGTTTGCGGAAGTTTGAGGAACGCGTCGCGCGACTCGCGCATCTAAACCTGAGCATACCGCATAGGCGTTTGGAGCTGTTTTATATACACATAATACGTTTGACATTTTTAGCATTAAAGATAGAATACTAAATCTACTTTTGACTTTATACCATTTTTTACAAATGGAGGCTTTGTCAGATTTAACTCACTTCAGGGGACAAATTTGTTCCCAAAGACAAGTTATTTTTGAACGCATGCGCAGACGGCCACACAGTCTGTGGAAACAAACCACGTCACTTTTGTATACAAGTTTAAAAGAAGTCATATAAACATGAAGAGTGTGTTATTATTACATTATCTTTAATAATCTCTTTTTTGTTTTCCAAAAAAAAACACAAAATATGACAGTGACACACACTCTCAGAAAAAAGCTGCCACTGGGGGGTACCTTTTCAAAAGTTACTGATATGCCCCCGTTATGGGTAAATATGGTACAAATGTGTACCTTTTGAAAAGGTACTGCCCTAGTGACAACTTTGTACTTTTTCCCCCTGAGAGTGTAAGGCAGGGGTCACCAAACTTGGTCCTGGAGGGCCAGTGTCCTGCAGAGTTTAGCTAAACTAAGCTAAACTCTGCAGGACACCAGCCCTCCAGGACCGAGTCTGGTCACCCCTGGTGTAAGGTATTGTGGTCTAAATATGACTCGGGGCCCCTCCGTCAATGTAATTTTTTTCCTTCTTTATCTTTTCCAACAGATGCAGTCTACTCATTTTGAGGTATCAATTAAGTCATTGTCAAAAACACTGGGAAATCTATGCATAAGAATGAGCTATATTATATGATTGCATCATATAATAATTGCTGTTAATGGTGTTCATCGTCTGTTTTATTACGTCTTAAATTGATTTTTCCGTACATTTCTGCCATATGTACATTAACTGACAGTCACCACTGATAAGCTACTACTAAATATTGTAGAAACTTAATTTGCTGTAAAGTTGCTTTGCAATGATTTGTATCGTGAAAAGCGCTGTACAAATAAACTTGACTTGACTATAATATTTGGCGCCTTCAGAGCTAAAGTATTTTCCGTAGTTATATATGACATCATTTAAGACCAGTGTGAGCAGCAGTTTTTTTTTTTAGACAGAGTGCAGAACAAGTCTTCTCTATAGTTTCACACGGGAAGAGGACGTATGTTATTCTGGTCTTAAGCCACCTTGTTTCACAACAGTGTCTGTACTTCTACCGGCTGTTTTTATGTTCGTCCATATCATGGTAATGTATTTAATTTTAGATCATGTTTAGTTGAAATGACTGAGATTTTTTTTTTTTTTTTCTTACATTAATCTAAACTCACTGAAGTTACTCTTAACACTGCACTGTATTTAAGACGTATAGCAGTAAAGAACAGCCTGGTCATTTATGGTCAGTTTAAGTCAAGCAGTGATAAGCACAAGGCTGGAAACATGCTTTTATTAAGCGTTTCTGTAAAAGGTTAAGGAATAATGACAACCGAATACATAATTACTAGTGAAGATAGTTAGATCAGATATTTTATGGAGGTTTTGCATGATACATCTCATGTCTTGCAGGTGTGTCCAGCTCTACTGCTTCAATCCTTCATCTGGATCTCTCTGATGGCAAAAGGTAACATATCTGTGATGTGGTGATGTAATGAACAGCAGTCTTTACAGAAGACTGTTTTCCGATAAGCAGAAAACAAAGTTGCTTTACTGGCAGCACATTTGCAAAATAACTTCTCTTACAGCTTCCTGTGTCACTTCAGTTGAGAACAAATGGTCACACGTTACAGCTTTCTGTTCTTGCAGTGTACTGTATAATGAAATAGTCGTCTTCTGAACCCTTTATCTTTAAGAGTGCATTTGGTTTTAAGGTTCATCATGGAACCATATAATGCCAATTAAGAACCTTTATTTTTAGTGTGTCGCAAAGCAGCATTTCAGGCATGCATTCGTGTGTATTCCAGGTGTGCAGTATGACGTGACTCATATCATCAGCAGAATGTGTGTGGTTCGGCAGTCGACGGTGCTCATACCCTGCAAATACACTTCTCGATACGAGCAGGTGAGTGCAGCCGAATGGCTCTATGAGAAATCACCGGAGCAGAAGGTCAGGGTCTCTCAGGAGCCCGCGTTTGAAGGCCGTGTGCAGTTTGTGCAGCCTGACACGGGAAACTGCTCGCTGCTGCTGAAGGACGTGAGAGAGAGTGACGCGGGCGTCTTCCGGTTTGTGTTCAGCACTGCTTCCGGGCGAAATTGGACAAACGATCAGGGAATCCAGCTAGAAGTAACAGGTGAGTGACGATGATAGGTGTGAATAAAGACCTTTTACCTTTCAGTGTGAGCGCTGGAATTCAACTGATTATACAGTATTCATTTAAGAATCAAGCACTAAACATTTTGGGTTGCTTAAAACTACACTATGCAACTTTTGTTTCAAAAAGAACAACATTTAGAGTGTACATGATAAAACCATCGTCACTATGTAACTTAAAGGGGTCATATGATGCTTTTTTAAAGCTCATTATTTTGTGTATTTGGTGTAACAGAATATATTGACATGCTTTAATGTTCAAAAAACACATTATTTTTCAAATACTGTACAATAATCGCGAGCGTCAGCTTTCAAAGTAAATATCAAGACAGTTAATAATGTCGTTAGTTTTACCATCAGTTCAAGCTTGAAAGGACAACAGAGTCGCGTGACAGACACCGTGATGATGCAGTACACAAGACGCTGTTAAGACAGCTGACGTGCTATGATTTCTGACAGGCTGTTCTTTGAGTAATTAACCACAATTAATTTTGTAACTCCCATTAGTTTCCTAAAATATCTGTCCTTAATTCAATAAAACTGAAATAACTAGTTAAAATAAGAAATATGATGTCAATTGATATCTTGGTATTGTAGCATTGTAAAGAAGTTTTTTTTTTCTCCTTGGAAGTTTGCTAAGGCCCTCTTTTTTGTAAATAACAAATGTTCTGTCAAGGTGGTCTTAGGTGATTCATAAGATTAAATACTCTTATGAATGATGTTATTCATTTCATATGATACCCTAAAAAAAGATAAGGTTCTTTACACACAGTAACAGATCTTTTTAGAACCATATCTTCCTAAAGAACCCTTTTATCCTTAAATGGTTATTTGTTCAAACCATCAAAGCACCTCATTGCTGATTCTCTGAAGCTCAACCATCAAACTACACAAACTGTCTGCACACACTCAACGGGTAAATGGTTCTGATTTCCTACCAATCATGTATTTTTCTCTTTTTAGTTTAAGAGAACATGTAAGTGCGACCAGCTCTTTTCAGTTAAGGATACTACTTTCCCCATCTCCACTAAGTAAGTAACAAAGATTTTGAATTTATGGTCCATATTGTTAGAATTTTTTTTTTATTACTTGGGTTTATGCATAAACATAACATTGTGACGTGCTCAGATACTACTTTTGTTCTTCATTAACATAATTGTTTTTACATTGTAACTCTAAACTCAATTGTGTGTTTCAGATGCTGTCACATCCTACAACCTCGTCATCTGCAGAGAGAAACTGCCATTCAATCCCACCAAAATACAGATAATGATGGACTTACAGGCATCATGGAGGATTACAGTATTTCACTGGAACTTGGTCTTCATTACACTATTTTCTGTTTCTATTTTTGTTTTACTTTAAGTATTTATTTATGTTCAGTGTCAATTGTCAGTTATTAATGTATTCTGCTAATAACGGTTGTTAGATCACTGTCATTTTTGCTACAATTTCACGTCATTAAATAAAAGTACCTAATTGACACAACATGCTGCTGTTTATATCCAAAGTAACTTACATTGCATTGCATTACATTCACATCCCCTACAGTACATTCATGCATTACTCCCTAAAAAAAGTAACTGTGTTACTTAATTACTTTTCATGGAAAGTAATGCATTGCATTACTTTTGCATTACTTTTTCTCATCTGGGCTGGGCTTGCTTGTTTGTTTTTTGATATAAAAAAGCTATTTTTTTGGCAAATATAAAAGCCCTTTCACACCAAAACATGAAATGAATAAGCCTCAGGCGGAAGGGAATGTAAATTCACGTCTGTAAAGTAGAGGGCGCAGCTCAAACAAACCTTTCAGCTGAGGTTTGCCAACTGAGGGACGCAGGAGAAGAAGGTTCAACACTCTTCAGCAATAAAACAAAATCTTTTTGCTTATTAATATGGTTGAATTGGATCATCAAAGGTCAGCAGCAAAGACATTGATTAATAAAATGGGATTAAATACATGAAAGATGTGTCTTCTTTGCATTTGCATCATATTCTGAGTTTGCATTTCACTGTTTTTATTCATTTTGAGGAATACTGAATCTGTTTTTTGTTCAGGTGTGATGAGTAAATGCATGTTCACGTTTAGTCTAGAACTAAACATCTTGTTCAGACAGTGCATTTACTCACGATTTCTCTCAACATGGGAAAAAATAGGAAGACAAAGTAACTGGAATTACTAATTTGAAAAAGTAATTTAGATATTTCCTTGTAAATGAAAAAGTAATGAATTACCAGTTACTTAAAAAAAAGTAATCTGATTACACAACACACGTATCAAGGATAAACTTCTTTCTGGTCCAGATGCGGAGCTGGAGGTAAAGGCAGAGTCTGATGTTGTGATGGAGGGAGACTGGATTTTGTTTGTCTGTGGTTCATGCATTCCCTCCATGACTGTACCAACCTACATTTGGAGCAAAGATGGGCATCTGCACGAGCAACACTATGGGAACAACATATTTGTTTTGGAGTCTGTCGAGCTGGAGGACAGAGGCCGATATTCCTGCACCATAAGCGGTCATGAGGGACTAACCTCCACATCTGCTGAAATCACTGTTAGACCTGGATGTAAGTTAGCTGAGAGCTTTACTTTGAAACATCTCACGTGTTCTTCATAATGAAACGACAGTTCTTTCTGCAGGGAAAAATTTGATGCTTACAAAGCAATTGCAAAAAACATGTTTTGAGTTGATTACAACTGTGTATGTTTTACTGATTTTCATTCCACACTTGTTTGTCTGTTCAGATCCTCCAAAGAGCATCTCAGTGTCCATCAGTCCATCTGCTGAAATAGTGGAGGGAGATTCAGTGACTCTGAGCTGCAAAAGTGATGCAAAACCTTCTGCTCTGAACTTCAGCTGGTTTAAGGAGAATCAAAGCTCAGCTGTTGGATCTGGACAGAGTTTCAGCATCTCCAGCTTTAACTCCAGTCACAGTGGACGCTACTATTGTGAGGCTCAGAATCAACATGGATCTCAGAGATCAGTGTCTGTTTCAGTCTCTGTTAAAGGTGAGAATCATCTCTGTTGAGCTTATTCAGCTCATTGTCTGAATATAAAGAGTAATAGTTTTTCTTTCTCTCGTCTGCACGGCTGAAGAAAGCAGCTCAACTCTGATCAGGGTCGCGGTGGGAATCTCTGCAGCTGTTGTCTTGACGTCTGTGATTCTGATGGTTTTCATCGGGCTCTTGATCAGAAGGTGAAGCAGACTCTGTGTCTGAACTGTTAGAAAGATTCAGAGTCAGTTTGTGTTCATGTTCACTTCTTCTCCTCTCACAGGAAACGGGTGACTTCATCAGAAGAGCTAAACCACAGAGGATCACGACACAATAAGACGGTGTGTAAATCTCCTCGTGTATCTTCTCATCTGTGTCTGTCAGTTCTGGAGGGAGAATTAATTCTCTCATCATTGTGTGTCGTCAGCTGGAGGCTCCTGAGGACGCCTACATGACCCTTGACCCCAAGTCCAGATGTTCTGAATACGACACACTGGATGTGAGTTACTCTGCTGTTGCTGTTTATCATGTGGATGTTTAACATCAGATCTTATTAGTGATGAATATGTTCACTTCTTCTCCAGAATATGAAGAGATCCTGTGAAAACACAGACGACCCTGATGATCAGGATCCTACATATTATAACATTGACAAATGATTAATCCACGATTTGGCATTTTTTATTATTTATTTTCTCTGGCTTAGAATTAAACATGTTGCTATTTGCTTTTGTGCTTTTAAAAAACACAATTTTCCCTATTTTTTTGTAATCTGTGTGATGTTGCAAACTTGTAGAAGTTCAGAATGATCTGATTTTACAGGTTAGAAAGTTACAGTAGATGCTCAGAAAGTTACAAAATATTTTCATAGTACACAAAACACAAGCAAAACAGGATTTGTCGTGATGAGCTTTTACAGTGCTTTAATTATGATGGCTCCAATCACCAAAGCTTTTTTTTTTTTTTTGTGTAGCTTACAGTATTGATAAATGCACACAGTGTTTGCATTGTTAACTGCGGACTGCTTGGATTGTGGCACCTTAACTGTGGCTTTACCTGTATATATATCTGTGTTTCAGTAGTATTTCAGTGTTCTCTCATTAGAGGAAAAATCTGTTATGTGTTCTTTATGTGAATGCATCGGTGTTTTTCTTTTATCTTGACACGGTGTCCTAAAAACTTGTGTGTTCATCGAAAAGTTCGCATAGCTCATGTTTACGTAGAATCTACATTAGTGTCATGGGATTTGAGGAGGGGCATTTTTCACTCACACCGAGGAAAGGAAGAGAGAAAGTGTAGGACAAAGCCTGACATCTCTTATTTTGATATAAGACATTTGAAGCCGTCCGGTTTCAGTAAAGCAAGGTAGGACAGCTCTCTACATTTTTAAAAAGGATTAACCCACAGTTTTAGTACAGACTTACTGATTGCTGTTGCTATTATGAAATTAAAGAATACCGAATGTACACTGTAAAATCCAATAGTTTACTTTACTTAGATTTAATTAGTAATCTTTACTTAGTTGTTATACTTACTAGGTTTTATTAAGTTCCAGCTTCTTTCAAGGCAAATAAAACAATTTACTTACTGTTTTGAGTGACACTTAAAATATTCAAGTAGCCACAAAGGAACCAATGACATTAATAAAGCAGTGAGAGGCAGCCATGCACTAATATGTTGCTAATGTGCAACATAACAACAGAAGAAGAAGAAAAGAAAAAGAGTCTTAATAGACTTTTCACCCATTTCCTCCATGTCTGCAGTTATCTTTCACTAGTTGCATTCACTCGTTTCCCAAAGTCATCTTGAATGTTACATTTTCAATACAACTGAAATATTTGAGAGAACATCACGTAAGCTAACTTCATAAATTGATGTTGATTTTCCTAAAATGTGTGGGTTTTTTAACTCACCATTATAGTGATTAGCGTTCCCTTTGGTTGGGCACTTGGAACTTCGCTTATGTTATTATAAATATTTTCCCGTTAGTGTAGTAATGCATCATGAAGTCAGCAGTGCATCAGGAAAGCTTGGAATATGGAAAAGCTTACATTCAGGGGATGGGAATATTGCCATTACACTGATTTTGTCAGGAGAAAAGCTGATATGAGCACAGATGTGTAAGTTATGGCATTGTTTTACTCTGGAATCACATGGCTTGCCCACCCACATCCCATCTGATCCCCATATAAATTATATTACTATAATTAAAAATCTTATGAACTTATGTGATTTCTTTTGATAAAATACTTCTAATAGCTTCTAATAGCTACAATTAGCTTCAAGCTACACATGACAATTAATACAACACTTTTACTTAAAAGTCACTATCAATCACCATTGAGTGCTTGTAAAAACTTCTGACTGCGATGCAATGTAGACTTTAGTCAAATGATGAGGCAGGAATATATTGTTAGTAACATTTCAGAGGAATTTTATGGGGAAGATACACAATTACAACTTCTGTGGGGCGTGAAGGAAAATGAATGTAACTAGTAGTGTAACTACTAGTAGGGTTACACTTTATTTTAAGGTGTCCTTGTTACAGTGTAATTACACATTTAAGTACTGAGTAATATTAATTAACTACATGTACTTGCTATATGGTTAGTTTAGGATTAGGGTTTGGTGTAGGGTTACTTGCATGTAATTATGCATAATTAATTGTTATTATAATAGTAAGTACATGTAACGTGTAACAAGGACACCTTAAAATAAAGTGTTACCCCAGATAGTAATGCTTTTGAAAGGAGTAACTAGTAACGAGTAATAAATTATATTTTTGGAGTAGGGAGCCCAACACTGTCTATACAGCAGCTCATCCGGTAAAGAAATCTAGATGTCTACACAGCCTGTAATTAGCATGATGTGCGTGCAGTTACATGCACTGTCCTGTAGATGTCGCGTCAGGTCGGTGAGCTGCAGAGGTGTGGAGGGGCGGCGCTGTCCGCGGTGCTGATCGCTCACTCATCAACTCTCACATGAGTGTTTTTCGCCATCTTTGATTCACCTTATAAAGGCCTCAATGCTCTGTTAAAACTAGTTCTTGCAGAAAGAAAAAATGGCACCTCAGATCTAAACCGGCTGTTTCGCCTCAATCCCTTTTGTTTAGAACATTGTGAACTTCCATTCGCATGCAACCCCATAAACACCTTCTGCAAGTCTTTTTCTCAGTTTGTCTTTGCATTGTGAAGGCTGCCTTACAGTTAATCACATTCATTCATTTTTATTTGAATTGTAATATAGGTATAGGAATCAAAGTGAATGATCAATGATTAAATCATTAAATGCCATTTTCTCTATATTTATGTGAAATACCTGGGTTAATTGTTGAATGGGCGTTGATGACTCTTTCGAGGAAGTCATCAATGTTAAGAAGCCGTTTCTCACATCGGGGCATGTTGCACTTTGCTCATGGCTCTTACAACATCAGTATAACCGCAAAAAGAAAGAAAAAGAGGAAGGAGAGCTATTTTCTCCAGTGCCGATGGGAATGCCACTTTGACTTGAGTTTCCGTAGTTTTCAGTGAACTTGCATGTAAAATAATCTCTTCAGTTCAGCTCCCGCCTGTCTGATTTAATGCATCAGTGCAGATGCAATGAGGTTTGACTGACTCAGGCGTTTAGTCAGATATTCTCATCAGGGTTTGTGTTGAGTTATGCTCTATAGCATCCTGTGACTGTAGAAGGAGCGTCTCTCACTAAGACAGAGGAAGTGAAGAGACACAACGGATATCTGGTAATATTAAGCATTGCATACAATACATCAACTGTCACTGTTACATGACACTCAAACCCTGCAGATTCAAGCAAGGTAGGGCAAATATATATATTTTTTTCAACACAAATACATGTTTTTCTACAGTTTCGGTATAGTTAGATTATTAAACATTACAAACATGCAACTACACTTCAGTCTGCAGTACATTTCTGTCATAAATATAACATTTAACAATCTTCCTAATGTATTCCAGAATGTTCTGTCTTTTCTCTTTGATTTCTCTGCTCATGATTCCTGGTGAGTCTGAACCTAAATCTTATTTCAACATGTTGAAGAAACCCATATCTGTCGTTCAGTATGTTTGTCTGTATTTCTGTGTTTAATGACAGTTTGATGTGTATGGTGGGAATGTGTTGCTCACATACTGTAGTGTTCACAGTTCTGCAAAACTAACACAGACACCCTCAGTACTGTGCATTATGCCTATAGTGACAGATCAAATTAGACACTTCCTGCAAATACTGGTTAGTGGTGCCATTTTTCCGTTCATGTAAAGTTTTTGTTATCCATAAAGCGGCATGTTAGAAAATTTGGAATATAGAGAGGATGAGCATTATCAACGTCCATCTTTTATGTTGATTTTGTCCTATTTTGTCTTCTGGCTGGTTACAGTAAGTAAAACTCAGTAAATAAATGTTTTAACGAAAACTACAGAAGCAGATGATGTAAGGTTGAGCACGTCTTACTTTTAAACTGCATCTGTGTTTAGATAAAAGTAAAAACAATTACACAGAATGGAATACATTTCAAAATGTGTATTTTCCTGATATTTCCCAGTGATCTGCAGCCAGAGATGGGAGGTTAAGTACTCCAGTATGATGAAATGTGCTCTAAAGGGTTCAACAATAAATTTATCAGGCACTTATAAACACCCAAATCATCTCACAGTGACACAGACATTCTGGACTGTAAACCCATCTAAAGACAAGAGTATCAATCTGTTGGCTCATCCAGATTACAGAGGCAGAGTTCAGTTCTTCCAGAATCAAGACGGAATGATCTTTCTCAGTCTCAGTAATGTGACTCATGAGGATGAAGCAATGTACTGCCTCAGAATCCTGACAAATGAAAAAGACGAAAGATTTCTGGGTTTTCCTGGGCCTGAGCTCAAAGTGACAGGTAGAGGCAAACTAATTAAATCACAGATTTGACTCTGTTCTTTCACACGCGCACACACACACACACACACACACACACACACACACACACACACACACACACAC